GCCGCGACAAGGAGGTTGGCGCTGCCCTTTGCCATGGTCAGGCTATACAGTTTTTGTGACCCCCTGTATGGCTTGAACCTCTGCTGCCTCAGTCGGAAAGATGTGTATTGGAGCGCACATTACAAAAACAAGAGCAAGATTTCATCCTGTTGCAGGGCACCTTTGCCAAGCCGTCCACCTTTGCTTCGAGCGAAAGTGTCACCAGGCGAGCGTCCTTGAAAGTTTTTACTGATGCGTTATTGCTTGGCTCTCAAAGATTGGCCTCTATCAAGCCGGTCTGTTCCCCTACTAGCGCTCGCATTACTTCAGCCTGGGATCATGCGCCTTTCCCAAGGCCAGCAGCTTGTTGTAAATCTGCTCGGGCATGGCCGAGGCCTGTTTTTGCTTCCGCTGACAGTGCAGCTCACATCATGCTCATAAGATCCGGCTGACAGCTCTACCAGACTTCGCCAACACCCTCCGAACCTTCTGGGATGTCAGCTGCAGCAACGAGGGGCTCATGGTTTTGCCTTGCAATTTGAAAACGGTGTGCATGCACAGCCATGTAACCATGGTAAGCTCGTTTCTGTCTGTGTCTTTTCATCAAACCATTTGCCATTGATCTCCGTTCGCCTGCTACCAGTGTCTAGTCCCATCACTGTGTCAAGAGAAACTTGCCACTATGCAGTGTTGAGGCGCAAGCGTCAAGGGTGTGGCAGCAATCTCAAGAACATGCTAGCTAGCTGCGCTTGGCAGGTGCTCTCTTTGGACTGAGAGAAATCATGGCTGCCTGGAAAAGAAAATTATGGCTCTAAATTGAGGCTGCCGGTTAGTACGGTCCCCAGTGCCATCTACCTACTTCGACCACCATGTTCATCTGGGCAGCAGAGTAAGGTTCCATTTGGACCAGGTCGGCTCAGCTGATTCTGATCCTACTCCCTCCTTGGACTCCTGCCAAAGAGATCAAAGGACTCGTCCGAATCAAGAATCTCAATGGCCTTCGTCACCGCCTTCCAATCTGCTTTAGGGGCTCTGAGATTTTTCTGATCAACAACGTATCCGCGTATTCTGTGCATGGAATCTCTGAGTGACTCTTGCTAACGCAAGAAGACCGCTATAGGTCTTGAGAAAACCACTACAGTACCATTCCACCAGTCCGAAGACTTCTGCAGCACTCTCAGAAGCCTCCATCTCATCTGCGCGTGTCGCTTGGCGCTTGTCCCACTCCTTGTTTTTGACATCGCACTGCTCCTGCACCTGCATGGGTTTACAGCTTTGCTGCAGTTCTGCATGCATCCCGGCCAGCATGACTCAGAGTTGCAAGGATGCCTGGACTTTCCCAACGACAAGCCCCCACCCGCACAAAGCGTCAGGCCTTGCCTTTTTCGCAAAGGCAAGGTCTTCGTCTACAGAGCCCTGGGCGTCTTTGACTGCCTGCAGAAGGATCTACATTTCGAAGGAAGGAATCGCACGACTTTAGTCCAGCATGGCTGTTGCAAAGGTCTTCAGGGCTTGTGAGGCTACATCGCCAAACCTGACTCCCTGCCTGCTTCTTTTGGAGGCGCTCCTCATCAGCAGCAGTCTTCTCCTCCTGGCACTCCAGTGCAATGTTCTTGCTTGAACATGGCGCGAGAGCATCCTTTCAGCACATGCGCCTGCATTGACGCTGTTTGACAGAAGGATTTGGGGGAAGACTGGGGCGACTGAAAAGAACTTCCGTTTGCAAATCATGTGTGCCAGCAGAGTGGAATGACGAACGCGCCTTCTTCGTAGCAATCTGCACCTTGGCAGAATCAATCTCCTTTCCTCAGCTCATGCTCAAGCTTGTGGCGATCCTTAATTTGATTTGCTTTAGAAAGTGATTTCCAGGATGTCTTCAATCAGGGCTCGCTTGGCCGACACCAGCTTGTCGTAGGCAGCCTTGTTCTGAAGCTCCTCCTCCTGCAGCTCCTGCACATGCAAATCTGTGCAGTGTTTCCGGCTGGCACCTCAGAAAATGTCACCTCGAGCCAGAAGCAGCTTCCCAATCCTTCAAGCTGCCTTCGAAGTCCGTCTCAAGCCCGTCGATTACTCCCCGCACAGAACCTCTCCATGTGCTGCTTGTGGCTCCACGCTTCTCTAGTAAGGCTGCACACTTTGGAGTTGGATGAGCATCAAATCTCTGCTGCAAGCGGGCCTGAAGTGGGATCCTGCAAGAATGCCATGAGCTGCTGGCGGCTCTCGGACTTGAGATAGTCCCCCTGCCTGTGCAACTGTGAAGGAGGGCAGCCCAGGAACTCCATGACATTCCACAACAACGAAAATCGCAAAAATCGCGCTTCGATCTTTTGCCCCCGTTCGGCTTTTGAGGTTCCAGCCTCTCTGCAACACTCCTCAGCAGGCGGACCGGTGTATCCTCGGGCCTCTGCCTGGGTGCCATTCCAAGAGCGATCCAACAGCTCCCACAGACGTTTAGCACTGTTTTCCACTGCGTCCGGGCAGCAGGAAGGAGGGGTGAACCGAGGTGTTCAGTGCCACTTGGGCAGAGCGAACCTGGGCTGCAAAACTGCATCTAGTGCTGCTTTGGTGCAACTCCCGGAGTTGCTCATCCCTCTTACCCATGCTTAGCGCCGCACAGAGTTCAGGTTGTTGAACATTTCGCGCTCATCCTCCTGGAACTTTGCCACCTGCGAGTGATGTTGCACGGTGGCTATGCAAGCGTCTTGGCCATGTGTTAATGAGACTACCTGCTTCTTGCGAAGGGCCATGGACTCGTCCAAAGATGCTTCATTCTTGTCAACCTCCTGCTGCCTTGCGACAACTCAACGGGATCTAGTCAGCTTGATCTGCGTCAGGCGAAAGTTGCGGAGCCACCTTGCCTTGACCTATTATACCTCCCCGGCTTTAAGCTGCTCCTATGTACGACCACATGCCAAGGTGCAAGTTGTTGCATTCCGTTGCCAGGCTGGAACCTAAGGTGTTGTGGGCTCTTCAACTGTTCAAGGCCGTTTCTGCCCAAGTTTTGCAAGAGAATAGAAATCTCAGTCGAACACTGACCGCTGTCAGCTCAGTGATGCGCGTCTTCCATTCCTTCCAAGATGTCTGGCACAGCTGGGACGGACAGATCATGCAGAAAAAATAAAACATCCACCAGGCACTGAAGACTGTCCTTGATGTTGGATCTGGCCTCCAAAATGGCCTGGCACTTTGTAGCCGTACGCTGCAAGGGGCAGCTCCACAACCTGCCTTCTCCTTTTCCTCACCATTCTCCTCAAAAGCGAACCGCTTTGCAACTTTGACAGTTCAGCCTTGTACCAGAAACAAACACTCTCTTTGTCTTTGCGGTCCTTGCACCAGCAATTGTACTTCTCCATGATGTCTGTCTCCTGCAATCACAACTCCACCGCAAACAAATCTACTACCTTGCAAGTTAGGCCAAACTGCACATACTTGGCTGGTCACATGTCATGCCCATGATTGTTCTGGTAGCTTTTGACCGCTGAAAACCTCGCTGATGCACGAACTTGTCCCTCGTTCTGGTCAGGCCGATTCTTTGATGTTGAGACGCAGGTTCGGCCTATGGTCCCATGGTGCTTCATCAGAAAGATGGCTGGATTCGCTGATTGCTCTGCCACACAATGACAACTTGGAAGCGCAAAGGAAAACAAAAAAATAAGATGGCCACATTAGCCTGCATTCTTCCAGGGAAATGTTGAGACAGCATGTCGCATCCTTGAGGTACGGTCATCCAACGACAGTGTGGTGGCATGAGCTGACTGCCCTCCGAAATCACGCGCAACCGCAGAGGGCGGGCAGGGGGATCAAGGCGGCATCTTGTGAGATATGCAAGACAGACGTCCTTGTTTGAGATGCCGGAAGGAACACAGCATCAAGCTGGCGGTCCTCCTCCGCCTCACTTTCCAGCTGCTCCTCCGTCAAGCATAGCTCGAACAACATCAAGCCAGACCAGGGTTACCACAATTCTGCAAGTTTCTTTCGCTTGCGCGTCCACACCAGTGAACACCAATAATAACAGCAAAGGAATCTTCCTTCACAACTGCAAGCACCCCAGTGAGTCCACCATTACTCAAAAATCCGATGGTCTCCTTCATGCCCTGCAGGAGGCCGACGACTTTGCTGACCGGCCGGGCCTGTCGCTTTCAACTTTGAACTCCGCAAGGCTTAGAGGCTCTGGCTTGGTATCTTTCATTTGTGCTCCTGTCTCCATCTTCTGTCTGGATCCCCTAACAAACCCTCAAGACCGCAGGCATATCACTCGAGCACAAGGCCAGCAACTTCAAGCAGAAGCCCTTATCAAACCTTACGAAAGCTCAGATGCCTCTGGATGGGGCACGTAAAACCAATGGTGTTGGGACCTGTTGCAGACCTGTTTTCTTGAATGCCAAAACTTCGAGAAGTGAAACGATGGGCTGGCACGCCTGCTATGTCAGCAGGCGCCAACCCTTTTTTTTAATGAAAGCTATAGAGGGAGCGCAAGCTCACCCAACATATCTGAGCTGGTCGTCCATGGGCATTGGCTGGTACCCGCGCGCCGGGTCCGCCGCATAGAACCCGTCCTGGGCTGGGCACCAATCTTGACTCAGCGCCCCTGGTCTTACAGCTGCCCAAGCCCAAGCAAAGTCAATCTCTGCCCAGCAGCCGGTCGTAAACGAGTCTTCACGGCCCTGCGACGCAGTATCTCAACCACCGCCTCCAAAGGTTGCACCGCGGAGAAATTCGGCAGAATCAAACAAGCTCAAGGTGTGCTGCGTCTACTCACCCTCCTGGAAGGCGTTCCGCGAGGAAGACAAGTTCGGGCAGACCCTCCGTTCCACCTCTTCCAGCTCATTCCTCACCAAGGTTTGAAGCTGATAAGTCAGGATACTACTTGTGGCTTGACCTAAAAACCAGACGTGTTCGCGAGGGGAAGGCTTGCAACTGTCCCTATGCGAGGCGACATGATACAGAAAGTTCAAAGTGTATCCCGAAGGCATGAGCCCCACCGACTGAACCCTAGACTATCTGAAACCGTCGACAAGGCTCCTCGCAGGCCAGTCACCTATCCAGGAGACTTCAGGTGGCGGATACAAGTACCAGCCTCGGAAAAATGCGCAAACAACTGCTGCAGGGAACTTTCACCGGCAATGCGCCCTACTCAAGTCCAACCGGGCTTTCCTGGGACGCAAAATTCAGCTAGGCCACAGCGCACCCGCCGGGCTTCCTCTGCATAGCGCTCGGCTACCTCCTGTTGCTGCGCAAAACTTGTGAGAGAGTTGGCAGATCTCCGTCAACTGCGCAGATCTGCAACATCCAAATCCAACAACTCAGCTTCGTCGCGCAGCCCGGTCCAGAGGCAGGGAGTGCAAGTATGCAACCAGCGAGTCATCAATCCGCGACACAGGCCACTTGATTACAAACCTGGTGCGGGCGGGGTTCAGGGGCCCTGCAGCACACTCAAACTGTAGTCCAATCATTTGCAGGTCAACCAGGACATGAGCGGCATTGAGTGTCATACGTTCATTCATTGGCATCACTAGCATGCGTTGAAACAGGCACCTGGAAACGTCAAAGAGCTGGTCGAACGAAGGCTGGTAATGATCCTGGCACTGCCAAACAAGTCTTGGGGATGCTTCCCTAGCAGCACTTGCGACAGTGCACGTGGAGCGTGTGTTCGAATCCAGGATAACACTCCCTGAACTATGCAGGTACAGCGAGCACGCTTGGAGGTCCGACAGCAGCACGGGTACACAGCCAGCCCAGAGTGCCTTAAAGAGAAATCTGCAAACAACTCAAGGAGCTTGAAAGTGAAATTGCCGCCCCCCACCTCGAAGAAACGAACTGACCAGGCTGCACGTCCACGAGGCACCAAACAGAAAACTGAGTTCCCCATAAGCCTGTGTGCAGGGTTGGAGCAGGAGCAAAATTTTTCCTGCAGGTATACGGTATACATGCTCACGAAATACATGCAATGCCCTTTCAGTTTGGTGCAAGCTGCCTCTGCATTCCATCCGGGTTTAGCATGTCCCTGATGGATGCAAAGGCATGGATCTTGAAGCCTGGGGCAGGGGACAGTGCGACCACCTTTCCCCGCACGTCGGCAGCTTCCACAATGTCCGACCATAACTTTCCAGCGAATGTCGCAAGATGCTCCCGCTCTCTCATCGGCTTGGCATGCATATCAAATCCAAGAATGTCTTTCATATTGATGTACGGCGGCACCACAATATCCTTCAACGGGTTGAAAGGAGGGAAGCGTTCCTGGTCGGCACCAAAATCGTTCAGGGACCGTTCAAAACCAACCTCCGTCTCTGGAGTGAGAAAAACACTTCGGGGGATGTGTTTCCGCCACGAAGGAAAAAGATCAATATAGTGAAACGAGAAGATGTGATCTTGCCCCCTGCTGCGTTGGAAGTAGGCAAGCTGTGACACAAGTACCTTGTGATCAGCATCCAGCTCATCGAAATCGGCGATGCCGGCAACTTGATGGCAGCAGGCGTAGGTAGGAACAAAGAAATAGTCCGCTATCTCTGGATCAAAAGTGCGAATCGGAGAGGTCCTGAAAAAATCATGGAAACCAACATCCATTCCCCATTGGCGATAATGGCAGAAGGCCGGCGAACGAGTGAGCTTACCCACCGGGTCAGCATCTCCCTCACCATAAACAAATACACGCAGAGGGGGCGCAGCATCCTTGAAAGGGATCAAAGCAGCGGGTGCAGACAGCTCCCAGGAAGGCCGCCAACCCAAAGTCGGATCGGTGGAATTTCTACCTCGTTGGCGGTAGCCAGCTTCCTGCTGCCGCAAGGCATGTGAGGCAAAGCCTCCCAAATTCTCCTTATGACTGAACAAGATCACCACTGCGAACCCTGGCGAAAGAAAAGAAACACTTTCCGAAAGGCATGTTAAGCTTCTCGTTCCACATCATCTGGGATAGACTCTTCGGTAAACGCGCTGGCCCCTAGGTGTAGAGACCGCCCGACAAGTTCGCGAAATCGGCGTATCTGATAGAGTAACCGATCTTTCCAATATCGCACGTCCTGCACAGGGGCTGCTCCATTTCCTGTCACCTGTCCTCAATGCCGCAAGGTCCTGATCTCCGACGGGCCACGCGCTGTGGACAAAGAAACCAGGGTGAGCTGCTGTCAAAAAATGATCATGCAGCAGCGCCTTCAGCTTCAAAGGCTCACACAAAGCGTCGAAGCTTTATTATACAACAAGCCACAGCATGCCACAGCACTGGTATGTGTGCCCTTGAGGCACCACTCTACTGTCCAACATGTGGCCACGCAACCTCTGAGACTTCGACAAATGTATGCAGCGCTGCAACGAAGCGCCCACGGCGCCAGGAGCCTGCAACCTCGTGCAATGTTTACAGCTACCCACGGAAGCACCTCCACATCAGGTCTTGGGTGTTGCTTCTTTACAGGGTGCGCTGCGATGCCTTTGCAGCTGGGCATGCTAGGCTTGGGGTAGGCTTCCCAGCACATGTGCGAGAGATCAACGTTGCCTCTTGTCTAGAAATGTGTCGGGGCCTGCGCCAGCAGTAGTGTGGCCGCACCAAGAAAGCAAGCAGGGTCTGGCGAAAGGCCAAGGGCCGCGGCTGCTTCCTTCAAAAAAAACATAAGAGGGCTGAGGGCTTGACAAGATACTCTTTGAAGTTGGGAGGTGTCTAGACTATGGGAAAGGACTACAGGTACGCATTCCGAATTGGAGTAGACTCAAACCAGCACGTTGAAGATAGCTCGGCTCTTGCGAAATCCGGGACTACTTGGCTGTCCTCCGCCTGCTGGGCCCGCTGCGCCTCCAAGCACTCATCTTGCAGAGGCCAAACTGACCCCAAAAAACACTGCTCAGAGAAGAGAAGTTTGCACGCTTCTGGACGCCTCTGGCAACCCGGGCTCAGCAGCACCAGCACCGAGGGTCAGAGCACCAAGGCCGCCAAGCCAAGTGGCCCAGGGCACGCTTTGGGTGCAATTGGGGTCGGTGAAGAGGCCGTCCATATGACAAACAACGTTTATTACTATTACTACTACTATTACTATTACTATTACTAGTACTAGTACTATTACTATTACTGTTACTCTTGCTCTTACTCTTGCTCTTACTATTACTATTACTATTACTATTACTAGTACTATTACTAGTACTAGTACTATTACTATTACTGTTACTCTTGCTCTTACTATTACTATTACTATTACTATTACTATTACTATTACTATTACTATTACTATTACTATTACTAGTACTAGTACTATTACTATTACTGTTACTCTTACTATTACTATTACTATTACTATCGCTAGTACTATGATTATTTTACTATTTGACTAAGCCGCCACCATGAGCTTCTCTGCATGCCTCTGCTCGAGCTTACATAGGTGCTCACGTGCGCAACCCAAGGACATGTGTTTACTAAGCTATTGGGTGGCCTCAAGGTACGGAAGCCTAATCAGCCTTTGATGCTATCAAACTCTGCTTGTTTTCCGTTGTCTACTTGGAGGGTCAGGGGGACTCAGAAAGTAGGTTAATAATGGGGATAAGTAGGGTTACTGTATGGGTTATAGGGGTTATTAACCTACTTACTAAGTCGCCCTGACCCTCCAAGTACTCGATCTCTTGGCTTGTGTTTCTTGCAGTTGCCGGTAATACTGCAAGCCAAAGCTGAGCAGGGCAGAGAACAGCGGCGCAGTCTGCGTGGCCTGTGCTGAATGCCACCTTACACTACAGAGACTATAGCGCCGAATTCTCACGCATCATGAAGACTATATTGGGGTTATGTTGGGATAATGAAAAATGAAATGGAAGCTACTATCTTGGTTGGCCTTTGGAACCTTTTGAAACATGTTAGTATATACCGTCTGACAAGCGAATGGGGCCTGTGCATCTGCCTCATCAAAGCTCAATGCTGCCGCGCAAGGCAGCAGGAAGAGCGCGAGGCCACGCATGGCTTCCTGTGGAAACACAAGCCAAATCAGAATCCGAACTGTCAGGCTTTTGGCGAGTTGTGGTCTCTACACGATTGGCTTTATTCCACCCTGCCTGTGACTCATCCAATTGCGAAACTTCCTCTCTCCCCAAGGTATTAAGCAGTGGCCCGACGCAGCGGGTAGCGCTTTCAGCCTTCCTTCTCTGACTCCTGAAGATTGAATTTCCTACCAGTTAAGGTCAAGTGCTTACTCACATAACACACGCTCACTTTGAGCACACCTCTTACCCGTCCAGTGGCCTAGATTCTGTTAAGTTCACCTTTCCACACACTACTCCAGCATGATCCCTAATTTTCTTAATTTTGACCTATCATCGATCCCTCCTCTCTCTTGCTCTTCCTCTTGCCATTGATTGGTGTCCAGCCCCATACGCAGTGTGTGCCCCACAGTTGTGCTTGGGCTGAAGGATTGACTTGCAACATGAGACTCCAAGGGAGTTGGCAGAACTCTTTGAGGTTTTCTTTCGGGCCATCAGAAGCGTGACAACCAAGACTACTCCGCTGTCCGGAGCGTGGTATGCCTCTATTTGCGAACATGAATGCACATGCACTGGAAAATAGCGGAAATATTGGGATACTGAAAAATAAGATAGAAGCTACGATGGTATATTGGGATAATATTGGGATAATGGAAAAAATGGAAACTACTAAACCGTAAACTCTAAACCCTAAAACCCTAAACCCTTTGCCACTACTATTACTATTGCCAACAAGGTGCAATTGGGTCGGAACTCCAGCTCTTGCAGTGGTGGCCGCAAGTTGAGCTGGAACGGCTGCAGCCACTGCGATGTGAACTTATAATATATGATAGTATGATATATTATAATATATCATAGTATATCCTGGGTATATTATAGCAAATTATGGCATCAAGACATCTCATTGGAAGTTTGGATATTGCGCCTTGTAATTTTTGAGGGGAAATCATTTATTGAAAAAAATTGATGCCAAGCATGCACAACTCAAAAATACTTAGCACTCATTACCTAATTCGGGATCTCCAAGATTTTCCCTTCATTCAAATTGACAAGGAGTACCTTTACGCTAGAAATCACATGCGGCGAAAGTCGTTAAATGTTCAACAAATCCGCAGGGGGTGACGCATGGCTTTACTGCGGGGAGAAGATTATCAGCACATGCCTGCCAGTCACATCCAAGCACTTGGCAAAACCCGTCCATCGAAACGACAATGGCTCATGCTTCTCATATGCAGCAGGCATAACTGAGTTGCAAATACCACATGCGACCCAGATGCTACCGCCAGAAAGGGAATCAGGAAGACCCACCTAATTGCAGCTGCAAGTCGAAGTTGTTCTGTAAACACTTGACGAACTCGATAGCTTGTTGCTAAGTTTCTGACATCCAGGGGTCAACGGATGTTATGCCAATGATGAAGTCGGCATTCTGGCTAAAAATACCTTCCAAGCGCGCTGATGGCAACAAGCAGGACTCATCATAGAAACAAACTCCTTCCCCACCTGCCTCGCAGGAAGAGAGTATTCATGACTGACCTTAGATGCACAGGTTAGGATTGAGTTTGGGCTGCGCATGCATTTACGAATACGGAGCTTTGCAACAGGAAAGGTTACAGGTGTGGAGCTTTCAAATTCCCGGCTATCAGCCCAGCTCTTAACTTGAAAGATCTCTCCTAGCACCATGTTGGTCAAGACTTGCAGCAGAGGCACAGCACGGAATCAAAGTACGCAGCAGCACCAATCTCACTTCCATCCGCAAAGAGCCTCTTGTGCTTGCAGCTGTCTGGACGCCAGGTCGGCACGTATCATTCAAAGCAAGTCAGACGTGGTAATTTTTTTTGGTCCGACGACGACTACACATCCATAAGCTGCGACAGCACAGCCGCTTCCACCCGCGCACATAAAGACTGCACGGCAAAGCAAACCTTTGCCTGAACATGACGCTGCAGAAGTAGATGAGGATCATCCAGACACCGAAGAACACACCTTGTTTGCACTCGAGCGTGAAAAACACGGCCCCGGAAGTCTCGTCTTGCTCAGCTCCGTTTCAGCTCACACAAGACCTGCCCAGCGGCTCACGGAGCGCGTAGCATAGGCCAGGCCCTTCAGCACGATCATCAGCTCGGGGCATGCCCGCAGCAACTTGGTCATCCTGCGACAGAACACGAGGGAATGCTACCCACATCCAGCTTGGATGTTGAAACTGCAGATGGCGCAAAGGGCCTACGACTCAGAATCAAAAAACACTGCACAGCAGCCCTCCTCGTGAGGCGAAGAACCCTCAGGGCAGTGCAAAATCCCAACCAGCTGGACTTGTTCAAGCACACGGACCAGCTCGAAAGTGCTAGAGGCTTGCGGCAAGAATAACAAAATCTAGGACCCTCCGGGCAACTGCAAGCGCGTTACAGCATGCAGTGAGCCGAAGTTGTTACCTTGAAGTCTTGAAAGCGACATAGAAGAAGCAAAGTCTCAACAATTCCCAGCCTCACCAACCTCAGCATCCGCAGAAGGCCTGTGCCTTGTATCATGGATGCCTTCTGCCCTGTAACCTCAGCATACCATGCCACCAAAGCTGCAGCCCCCCCCCCTGACACGTACCAGCCAAGCAGCGGCCAGGATAAAGGTAAGAATCCACACTTCGCCGATGGTGAGCAAGACCAGAAGCCTGATGCATCTTCGCAACCCTAGAGCTGCGGGTTGCCCCAAAAGAAATCAAACCATTGCTGGACCATTGCTGAGCTGCAAGTCGAATACGAACCATGCATCCTTGAGGGAGCTTCGCTTCCTGCATGGGCTAGAAAGCCAACACCCACCACAGCACAGAGCAAACAGTCTTCGCATTTGCCTGCAAATCATGTTTCTGCTCTTTTCTGCTCATCCCTACCTGGCCTCTGAAACGCGCAGAATCGTATCACGATCTCTGCAATGAAGTATGTGCCTTTGTAGCGGGGCTTGTTACGTGCCAGATATGGTGGGCTCTTGTTGTGACAATTGGCCCAGGGAATTCATGTGCAAGCCACTTGAGAGGCGAGCCGAGGCCAACGAAAGCTAGCCAGGCTCTATCTAGCACTGGAGTAGGGTAGAAGAGGAGGAGGGGAGGTATATGCCAGCAAAAAGCACAAACCTCGTTAAGGGGCCTGGAAAAACCCTTTGCAGAACCTCGCCAACTCGACTGCAGTGTCCACTTCACTTTGCACTCCACTTTCCTTTCCAGCCTTCTCCTCATTCTCCCAGCCCGTCTTTGTTCCACGTTTCACTCCACTGTCCAGTTGAACACTGACTTTCCTCTCTCTGGACTCCACCCACCCCAATGTGCAGCATCCCCGTGACTGTTGACACTAATGAACTTTTCACACGCCGCGAAGCAGCAACGCTTCTCCGCCCCGCCTGGCCCCTTGCCCCGTGATTGTTTGACTATTGTTTGCATCTGTGACACACGACGCAGCAACGACGGTCCAAAAGCGACACTTATACGAGGATGGTGACGGCGCGAATGCTTGGAAACGCTTGCGAACACTTGTGGACGCATTGCGGACGCTTGCGGACACAGATCACAACGTTGAAAAAAGGACCCCTTCCGCAGAGCACTCAGCAATAGGGAGGTTGCATGGAACAACTAAGAAAGATATTACTTGTAGCATGAAAGGGGAAGAGAGGATTGATTCAACCATGAAGCGTGAACTTACCCGCGCTCTGACAAAAGAAAGGGTCATAAAGATCAACAAGATGGAATGCAACCACAAAGCGAAATGGTACTTGTACAAAGAGCACGCAGGAAACAAACACCAAAAGAGGAGAAGGCGAAATGCAACGACCAGGCTTGACGTGCTTGGTACCATGACCGTTNNCAAGGGCATGCACTATCAAAGACGGAATAGGGAGCGTCAGTACAACCATCGAGCTCAATGCCATTCATACCATGCTCATGCATGGGCAGGTTTAGCGAGCACTACAGGAGTGGCAAGGTTTCAATAAAACAAGCACTTGCTTGTTTCAAGACGAGGCAAAGGTATCGAACACAACAGAAGGAGGGAAAGGTGCATTGCAACAACCCAGCATGATGATGCTTGCCAGGTAGTGATCACTACAGAGGGCCAGGGAGCTTTGACCCAACAACCAGCACGGTTCATGTGTATCATGGCTTTGCAAGGGTTGTGGACACTAAGGAGAGCAAAACCTTTAAAACCACCAGCATCATGTTATCCGTATTGTGAACTTGTTGGGGTATGGCAAGCGATAGAGCAAGTAGAGCAGTTTGACACGACTACCACACCCGTACCATGACCATACAACTGTCGTGAACTGTGAACGCGACAGGCAGAGTACAGCCAGGAAGTTAGATTGGACCACCAAAAACGAAGTCCTGGGAGTTCAGGAAAAAATTGAACAGCTTAACAACAGAGGAGCACAAACACTTATGGAAATACAAGACGCATCAACAGGTGCATTGAGGGTAGGAAGGACAGGAGTGGAAAGTAGGAACAGGAGCAGACCCAAATACGTCATATTTCTGGACAGTATGTAGGTAGGACGATGCCAGCACCTATATGTAAGCCAACATATTGTTGGACTCCAACAGGAGCATATCATTGATATACGGATATATCGGAGGACATACGCAGCAAATCATTAAACATCAATACTTCTCAGGAATCCGTCAATCTTCAACTTGTTTAAGAAGCAGACCCTACAACAGGAACCATAGCAGCACAAATCATCCGAGCTAGGCTTGAGTTTAGTCTTGCTTTAGCAGTGGTAGCCTTCAAGGTCTGGAAAATGACGTAACGTGTGATATAACTAGAACGTAACATTTGTGAGGGAACAACCATAAACAACGAACGCAAGATCATACCGAAGAGCGGACGCTAATGACAATTGAACTGCATAATACCAACAGAGGAAATATGCAGACGGATAGAACATCCGACCTCACGACAGGAATAATAGCATTCGAACTAAACGACACTCTCAGAATTACAGTTAATAGAGCAGCTGTAAATAATCAAACATTTCCTAGTAGTGGTAATATGTAGTAACATTGTTGGAGAGGCGGATGTCACTAGTTGGGACACTTTATGTTTCAGAACAGCAGGGAATGCAAAGAAGTATTGAACACACAGTATAAAGTATTTATCAGAAACAGCGACGCGTTAGGAGACATAAACATTACAATGGGATTACAATCATCAACACCAGAGATTAAAGTAGCAGACGGACCGGCCAATTTATTAGGACATGTGGACATGACGCATTCGGATATACCAGTAAGTCCAAGAGTCAAAATAGATAATCCAGACAGCAACGGACAAATATAATGTCAATCAATACTGCTAATAAGTTAGGCATGACATCATTTGGTTCTGATGTTTACGGTTCACCCAACATCATCAGGAACAGTGACATTTACAGGGACTGGAACATGTAGCAATGTAGTGCTTCTGTTGCAGCATGAGATTGCAGCATGAGATACTGAATGGAAAAAACGAAGTAAATGATAAGGATTGTTATGGAGTTGTTGATTGGTACCATGAGCATGTCAGGGCAGTGAACATTTAGGAAAAAACGATGCAACAACCAGGCATGATGTTACTGTACAATAAAACAACTTGAGAGCCACGGGCTGGGACGA